GGGAGTTTTTATTTCAGATGTGGTTGTAGAGAGAAATGGAAGAGAAAAGGAATGACTCCTAGATTTCAGCAATGTGTGCATTTCATTGTGCAATTGTAAGGTCACTGAGGCAAAGAAAGAAGCCAGATGGCAGTGGGTTGAGGAATGACTAAGAGCTAAGGAACTAGAGCCTTACCTCTAGAGCCTTAGAGGTAAGGAACAGAGAGACTTTTTCAGAGTGAGAATTGTAGAAGTCGGGGCAGGGAGGAGGCTGAAGTGAAATCTAAAGGATATTGGAAAGGATGAATCAAGAGCAAAGGAGGTGGCTGCAGAAGAAATACTTCAAATGAGTTGGCGGGGAATGCTGTAAGAATTCAGAAGGTGGGAAAATTCCTTGGGGATGGCCAGTCCTGCTTCACAGAGGAAGTGGGATTTAAGTTGGGTGTTGAGCCTTCTAGGATGGGAAAATTGTATAAGTAAAGATGAAAAACTTTAAGGTGTCCTCAGAAAAGGGTGTGTGTGGTGGCGCCGTGGCACAGTGGATGGGGCGCTGGCCCCATATACTGAGGGTGGCGTGTTCAAACCCGGCCCTGACCAAACTGCAACAAAAAATTAGCCAGATGTTGTGGTGGCTGAGGCAAGAGAATCGCCTAAGCCCAAGAGCTGGAGGTTGCTGTGAACTGACACCACATTACTGTAAAGACTTAAAAAAAATAAAAGGGTATGTGGATCAATTTTTTTGGAACAAGTTGTCACAGGAAATGAAATGATAAAGATATGCTATGATTAGTTTATGAGGAGCTTGATTTCTAGGCCAGAGAAATTCAGTTTTGTTCTGTAGGAATTGAGAAGCCATTGAATGTTTGATCAGGAAATTAACATTTTGAGAATACCCTTCAAGAGAATCAATCTGGTAGAGGATGTGAAATGGGTTGAAAATAGTAGTTGTTAACAGGACAATCAGGAGGTTGCTGCAGTACTTTCTGTGTGAGTTAATGACACAGGATCACATCATCACAAGATGATGACAATGAAGATGCAGCAAAAGGAATTGATCCAGTCTGAAGATAATCAGCCATAATTTAGTGATGATGAATTGATGTATAAGTGGTCTGAGGGTGTTGAAAGACAGAAAGATCAATGACTCTAGGAGTCTAAGAGTTTGATGATAGCAGTCATGGGGGAAGCCACAAAGGAGAGATTCTAAAAGGAGAAATTCTAAGAAACTTTGAACTTACTGAGTTTACATAGAATGATTCTAATGTTTAACACAGACCATTAATTTTAGGTGAATTTAACTATTCTGTGTTGTGGTTAAGGTTAATTTTTTTCTTCTTTTTCCTATCAGAAAGCAGGAATTACATTTCAAATGGACAATCATTTGCCAAACCTCGTTAATCTCAATGAAGATCCACAACTATCAGAGATGCTGCTATATATGATAAAAGAAGGAACTACTACAGTTGGGAAGTATAAACCCAACTCAAGCCATGATATTCAGTTGTCTGGGGTGCTGATTGCTGATGATCATTGGTATGTTAATCTTCCTTTCATAAAAAACACCTGTTCATTTTCAGTAGGCATTCCTATCTTGCTAATACGTTGTTTCCTTCAAGTGAGACATTCATTTATACTGATTCTTTGATATAATTTTTCAAACTCATCTTTTAATCAGGAAAAACATAAATTCTGAGTATAAGGACCATAGGTCAGTCACTCTCAATATAAGGTACAATATAATGCTGTCAATATTGTTTTGGTGTTTTAGTCTTTTGATTGAAGGATAATTTCTTTTTTTGGAATTAGAATGATGGGCATAAAAGTAAATTTCTAGCTATCTTATATAGCAGGAGTTTTGGTTAGATTGACAAATTTAAAAATCTTGACTATGTTAATTTTGTTCACGTGAATGAAATGAAATTTGTGTTATTCTTGGGATGATAGTACATATAAATGTTTTTGGCTTTGCCTGTGTTTTCAAGACTTATCTATGTTGATTTTGTTTCATTTTTCACTGATATAAATATCCCATTGTATGAATTTCTCTTTTATTCTCTGTTAAAATTTACCTACTTTGTTGATAGATATTTGAGTTGTTTATAATTTTTTGTTTCTATAATATTGCTGTGAGTATTCTGGTACATGTCTCCTGGTACAATATGAAGAATTTCTCAAGATAAGTTTCCTAAGTGGAAAGCTGAGATACTGACCCTAAGAGCTCTAAGGGCAGCTGGTAGCAACTTGGGAGGCTTGAGCTGCCAGATCATACGCGATAATCTTCTATATAATAATAATTTTTAAAGTTTAGGAAGCACTCCTAAATTATATGTATAAGATTAGAAATATTAGGTTGAAGGATTCTGATTCTTCAGAATTTTTTAATTTTAGTAGGTAATTTCAAGTTGTTTTCTAAAATGATTAGCATTGAGGGTACTTATTACTACACATCTTTGATAATACTTAGTACTGTCAGATTTTAATTTATGCCCATCTGGTGAACATAAAATAGTATCTCATTATGGATTCATTTTGCATTTCCTTGATTAATAATGAGGTTGAACATCTTTGCACGTAGCCATTGGCCATTTTTGTTTACTCTTACATGACTTGCCTGTTCATGTCTTTTATTCACTTTCAATTGAACTGTGTTTTTTTCTTAATGATTTGCAGGTGTTCTTTATACTAAATTCTGGTTGCCAGTCCTTTGTGGGGTTTATATGTATTACGTCTTTTCACTCTGTGTGGTGCCTTTTGATTGATTAAAGTTCTTAACTTTATTATAGTAAACTGGCATCAATTTTTTCTTTCATGGCTGTTTTTGTGTCTTGTTTAAGAAAGAATATTCTACAATCTACATAGAGATGTAGGTGTTTTCTTAATTTTCTTGTAGATCAGTGGTTCTCAACCTTCCTAATGCTGTGACCCTTTAGTATAGTTCCTCATGTTATGTTGACCCCAACCATAAAATTATTTTCATTGCTACTTCGTAACTGTAATTTTGCTACTGTTATGAATTGTAATGTAAATGTCTGATATGAAGGACGTATTTAGGTGACCCCTGTGAAAGGGTCATTCAACTCCCAAAGGGGTCGCGACCCACAGGTTGAGAACTGCTGTTCTAGATGTTTTAAATTTTTGCTTTTACCTTTAATCCTTAAAGTAGTTAAGAATTTTTTATCTCATGTGAATCACTGATAAATTAATTTATTTCTCTATGAATAACCAGTTCTCCCAGTACCATCTATTAAATAGTTAATTGCGTTTTTTGTGATCTGGAATGTTCAAAAAATTTCTAAAAATATGAGAATCTCTTTCTTTTCACTAATAGAGACTGATAGTCTTAATTACTTAAGCTTCGTAGTGAGTCTTTATATCTGGTAGGATAAATCCTCTTATTCTTTAGGTCCTTTTGCTCTTTTATTCCTTAATTGTTTCTTTAATAAGTAAATATAATGTAATGTATACCAGTGGCATAGATATAGAACATGCTTCCAAGTAGTGAAGCGTCCAGTAGGGGACTAGGGGGCTCCCTGTTTTCCTTGAACTTGTACTTTCCCTTTAATATATTAGTTAGTGTTTGTCTTATTCAGTAGACTATGAACCTCATGAGAACTTGTTTTATGTCTGTTTACACATATTTGGCTCTTGGGGGCTCAATGAATAAAGGAATTTCAGTACTTATTAATGTTTATTAAGTGTTAGATAAGTATTGCATACTTAGTGCTTAAAAGTGAACAGAAGGAAAAGCTTCTTGAGGACTGAAGCATTTAAATTGAACCTTGAAGGATGGTAGAAACAAGGAAAAAATATCCTATGTCTAAATGGGATGACTCAAAGAAAGGAGGGAAGCTGATAATAGGCAAATTCAGGGTACTGATATGATTGATGGGGAGGTGTCGTTCTTAGGGGGCAATCGTGGCAGATGAGAGAGATTGGTGGTTGAACCAGATTGTGAGGGTTCAGAATGGTAGGCTGTGAAATTTTGATAATGAAATAGGTAGAAATCAACTGAAAGGATCAGAACAAGAAGACACTGGGTAATCCTTCATCTGGTTAAGACACTTAACTGGTGAGAGGAGAGATATATTGCCTAAGGGTAAACTATTTTTTCCAGATACTTTTTTCTAGGTGCTTTAATTGAACTATGATTCATTAATTACAGATCTTGGAGCCTCATCAACAACTAGACATCTTTGGTTAGGACTCAGCTTTTGCTGCAGTTTTTTCTTTTCTTTTTTTTTTT